AGTAGTGATAGTTATCTGAAAGCAAAGTCAGAAAAATTGCTGTGAAAAGGATTTATATATACATCCATCTATGCTTTTCTTTTTATGTATATGTGTATATACATTTAGATGTGTGTCTGTGTATGTATACAGAATGTGTTCCGCTCCGTGTACCAGTAGTGATTGTTGAGGATGAGGTGTCATTAGCGTTCTTGTTAAACATGATTTTCAAGGTTAGCAGTTCTCTCCAATGATGGAGATCTCAGCACTGAGTAACCAGGGGATTTCAAATACACGGATCAGTGCTTTTTTTAACAAGGTCAGTTTCAGCTTTCTTCCCTCTTGCTGTGGTGGGATGAAGGAAATTAGGTAAAATGCTAATGATAGTGGCAAAACTACCTTACTTAAAAGGGTCAAGTAATGTAGATATAAATAGCAGTGATTCTTAATAAACACTGCTGCAGCTGGAGTCTTTCTGGAGGAAGGCAAAAATGACTGGTTTGTCACTCTTTTTCTAAAAAGAGGCTTTCAAGAAAGATTTTAAAACTGTATTTGTTGCTATAAATATATCTATATATAATGATAGGTCAGAGGAACTTTTAGTGTCCCTTGGATTTCTGCAACATTTGCTGAGGTTGCGAAGAGTCTCCATTTCACAGCCTGCCCCTGGAGGCTGGGAGATTCCCTTCCTGTTCCAGGCTTCCATTCTGTCATCTGAGAGCTAATAATAGAACTTTAATGAAGTAGTGGCTTGAGAAAGGGTAAGCATCTTGAGAAGGATGTGTGTGCCTCGTCTGAAGGATCTTGAACCTATAAAAAAATCGCCATTTGTTATGCTAGGGGCCCATCTCTAAGAGTTGATTAAAAAAAATATGTTTTCTGTGGTTTTGGCAGTCTGTTCTGGGGTACAATATAGAGGAAGTGATAAATGTTATGTTTCTTTGTTGATTATAAGAGTTATTCCTGAATAGAAAGAATAATTTTAAGTATTTACTTGGTGTCTATTGAAATAAAAATGTGAATGTGTAACTAGAATGCTTTGCTTTGCTTTTTGAAATGGGTATAAAAATGAATGGCTGATTCTTCAAGCATATGACAACAGAGCATTGCTCATTGAGCATTACAGTCTGAACTCACAGACAATATCAGCGGTAAATGATGATCTGGGTTTGTGTAAATCTGACTAGAATTAGTTTCAATCATTTTTTCTATTTTTTTTTCCTGCTGAAGTCAGCAAAGAGTCTTGTTGAATAGCTGTGATTACATATACGTCTTGGTAGTCAAGAATTTATATTCACATCTGGCTAAATTTTTTTTATCCCTGCTAAATAGGTTTGTTTCAAATTATTTACATTTTAAAAAGGCATATTTAACACTAACATTTACCTTGCCAAGCTGGCTATAAAAAGAATTTATAGTGAATTCTGTCTGTACAGCTGCCAGAGATATGGTAGTAAACTTGGAGGATTTTTCTGAGCTTATGTTGCAGTAAAACTACCATTTTATTACAAGACCAGGGGTGAATTACTGTCTTTGTTACAAAAATAGGGCAACTGTATCAATTAAAAAAATACATTCATAGTTGAGCAAGAGATGTTATGATAGAGTTTCCAGAGAAAGAAGCGCAGGCTTTTAGATGCAAGTCCAGTCTCTTATTGGAGATACTGAAATTGACTTTCATGCTCAGCCTTTTCATAGCAGTTCGCAGACACTCATTACTCTCTCTCTCTTATTCCTGCTCCCTTGATTCAGCTGTTTATACAGACACTCTTCTGCCAGTGATTGAAGTTTGTCTTAAGAAGGCTGATATATCATCAATACTAACCTTGGTGTTCCAAGGTAAGGATTTTGTGTAGCAAGCACCAGAGAGAGGACCGACGTATGGTATCTGAAATTTCACTGTAGTAAAGTGCATAGTTGGATGTGTAAACAAAAGCTTCTCTCTGGTGAATAAAAAAATATCACACATCAGTGCCATTAATTTATGCAGTGCAATGGATTTCCGTATCGAATTCTTGAAGTAGTTGGACACCTTCTATTTGATAGAAGTCAATGGCAGAACTGCAGTCAAGATCGTTGTATCTCAAAGTAAATACCACTGTACAAATGATTACTTTTAGTTGTTTTCTTTTCCTCTATGATATGTAAAGTACTGGGTTTTCTGATTTTAGATTGATGCTTTTTTTATCTCTTGCTTTGATGGAGAGAGAAAATTCAGAAGAGCAAATGGAGATCAGAAACTGGAGAAAATGGTCGCCCAGACAAACTTTCGGTGTTAGTTTCCTAACTCCTAGTCAGTGATTTTATGATGTAACTAATGAGATTAAAATATGAGAAAAGATTATTAAAATCAAAGTACTCTTACATAACTCAGATAAGTCTCATGTAGGCTTTTCTTCTTAAAAGAAGTTGGGTCATCAAGTAATCTGGATTAGCTGAGAGATTTGTCTGCTGAAGTATATTTGCAATATATGCCCAAGAATGAAAGAAACATTTTACTGTTGAAAGATCATGGGTTTTAAAGCCTTTGGTTTTGCGTTTTATTTCTTCAATACTTTCTTAATGGAATTAAGAGGTATTTTAGTTGTGGCCTTTGTGATGCCCTGTTGTGGCTGAACTAAATGAGAATGAAAGACACAATTCTGACAGTTGCTACAGGAGATTTGCTTTCTGCTGCATACTATTAGATTATGAATCACACGTCTTGTTCCTCCTAATGTAAGGTTTAGTTGAGTGAAGTTCTCTGGCCAGAATGGAGTCAAGTCAGACAGGATCTTTCATAGCCTTAGCATCTGAGCTGTTTCATCTGTGCTTTAACTAGTGAGTGCAATATCTTTGTTTCTGCATGTGCTTAGGATGGTATTAGCTGGGTAATAAAACTTATATGCCTTATTAATGAATAAGAGGAAAAAGAATTGTTACCAAACGGCAGAATGGATGATGCTGGAGAGCACCTCATCCAGCCCACCTAGAACCCAACTCAACTAGAGCAAGTTGCTCAGGGCCACTGGAAGAGTCTGGCTCCACCCTCTTTACTCCTCCCAGAAGATATTTAAGAACAGCGGTAAGATTCCCTTGGAGCCTTCTCCAGGCTAAACAAACCCAGTTCACTCAGCCTCTCATGTATGATAGGTATTTCAGTCCCTAATCATCTTCATGGCTCATCAGTGGAATTGCTCCTGTTGGTTCCTATCTTTCTTGTACTGGGGAGCCCGGAGCTGGACCCAGCACTCCAGATGTGGCCTTAGTAGCACTGAGCAGAGTGGAAGGATCGCTTCCCTTGACCCACTAGAAACAGTCTTCCTAAATGCAGCCTAGTGTGCTGTTGTCCTGCTTTGCCATGAGGGCACGTTACTGGCTCATGCTCAGCTTCTTTGTCCACCAGGCCCCCTGGGTCCTTCTCTGCAAAGCTGCTTTCTGGACTGTCAATCCCAAGTATGTAATGGTTTCTGGGGTTATTCCTCCCCAGGTGCAGGACTTGGCATTTCACAATGTTGGTAATTTGGGGAGATTCAATATTTATTTTTACTTTTTTCTGTAAATTAACATTTTGACCTGAAATAGTTTCACTGTGAAAATGTTAAAATGCAACTTCCTGATAGTTTCAGAACACCTGCAAGGGCAGTCATGAGAATTTTATTTTTTTTTTCCCTCTGAACATACTTTCAGGGGAGATCCTGCCCCAGATGTCAACAGTGGACTAAAGCATTCTTCACAAAACTCCTTGTCACCTCTAGCAAACAATTGTTCTTATTTATGGGATGTATTTGGTGTGTTATTTATGCAGTGTAGTGTAATTGAAGTATTACTTTTTCTTCTCCACCTGTGTGGTTTCCAAGACATATTGCCAACACTTTTTTATTTAGAGCACTTGTACATTTTTGTTGGCTTTGTGACTAAGCTACCAGTGCTTGTGTGCTTTCTGCTCTGTACTCGGTCAGTAAGACTCTGTCAGTGAATGTCAGTGAATGTCTACAATAAGCAGGAATTAAAAAGAAAACATTTACAGGATTTTGAATATTTACTTTGATGCTTTAAAAAGTATTTACTTTTAGAACAACCAGTGGTTTTGTTGATTTATCTTTTGAGAAATGCACCATTGTTCTTCATGGAGTAGGAGAAAACTTGTGTCATGCCTTTCCTCATTCTTGGTAAAAGGGAGGATCAGGAGGAGGGTCTGAGAACTGTATGTTTGGGAACATTTCCAAGAATTAGTGTGCTTTGTGAAATGTAGAAGTCAAAATTTGTGTAGTCAGATTTGAATCACGAAAATAAGTGGTTCAAATTCATAGGAGGTGAAGAAAACCAAAATAACTGATGGTTGTACAAAACATTTAAAAGTTTAAGGAGAATTTTAGGAGTCCAGCTTTAAAAGCCCACTTTGCAAACCAGATCCTGCTTTTCTTCATGTTTTCAAAATTTTTAAGTAAGTGTATGGAACAAATTTTTTCATTATCAGAAATGGTAAAGATCTTTGTGAAATTGTTCTGTTTCTACTTATGTTATTGGGATTGGATTATATGGTCTCGAAGTATGATTTAATAACTTGATTCCAGTAGAAATGCAAGGAAAATACAAACTTCATTTTAGATGAAAGTGGGCAATTGTTCATTGAGCCACTTTGTGAACGTGTCCTTAATCATGACAGTAAAAGCAAAAGCCTCTCCACTGTACCCAAAGCACAGAGTTGCTTTATGAAACAACTTTTTGTCTCATCGAGTTTTTACTGTATTTTTATTTAAAGTTGCTTAACTATTTTTTTCCCCACCCTTTGAAAATAAGTGTTAATTTCCTATGGAACTGGAGTTCAGAAGTAGTGGTGTATGCCATCTTCTGCTGATGTGGTGGTACATGTTTCCTTTTGATGTCATCTTTATTCTCACTAGAAATTATCTCCCTTTGCCCCAGTATTTTTCTCAGTGGAAAAAAAGGCAGTAGTAAAAGTGAGGGTCAGAAACTTGCCATGAGAGATGCAGGGTATTTTCTAGGATGCATAACCCCTGTGTTTGTAATTACTGCAGTGCTGCATATGATGCCGTCCTTGACAGAAATGTGGCCATTAAGAAGCTCAGCAGACCATTTCAGAACCAAACTCATGCCAAGCGAGCTTACAGGGAGCTGGTCCTCATGAAGTGTGTGAATCATAAAAATGTAAGTTTTCAGTAGGTAACTGGAGAAGCGGTATGTATATCGGCTTGTTAGAAGGAAAATTGTTTTATTGGGTGCGTTTTTAAAACAGAAGAAATGAAAAGTAAACTATGCTCAAGGGCTACAGTCTTTCTGGTACTGTATGCCCACATGAGAGAGTGAAGTTCTTCCATGTGCTTATTTAAAGGCTACACCAAATGGAGGTGCTGCTAGTAGGGCTAAGGTGATAGAAGGGGAGAGAGCAGAATACATTCTTTTAAACTTCTTATCCAGAAATGCATAAGTGGTGGTTGGAATCCTGGCTCCATTCTCTTGTCACTAGGATCTGTGACTCAAAAGCAGTGTCTCTTGAGTTGGAGGACCCATACATAGGCGTCACTCCTTGTTCTGGAATTCAGCTGAAACCTCGTCATATAGATGCATTGTATAGATTGTACAAGATGAAAGATCATCATAATGAGGACTGCTACAAAACTGCTGAAGAAAATTAAGAGCCAAAAGCACTTTTCCAGTCTCACATATTCATATGTAAGCTAATGTTTTGGAGCCAGGGACCCTCAAGCCTCAAGACATTTGGCCATTCCTTCCATGCAGAGTGTTCTTGTTGAAATGAACAGTACTGGCAAGTTCTAGACTTCCCTGCTTCTTGCACCCACTACATATTGTATAACATTTAGTATCCATAATGAATGAAAATATTCCTACACTACAGCAAAAGAGTTATTCCAGGGCTGTATGTTAATTGTAACCATCTATCTATTAGTTAGAACTATCTACCTAACACTATATAAGCTTGCTGTTTTGTCATGAGATGTGTAGGATTGCCCCACTGCATTGTGAAGGGATCTCCCAAGGATTTAATTTTCTTACAGTTCCTTGATTTCTGCTGTGGCTTGGTGCCATGCCTGTGTGCCCCTTCCTTTTCATTAGGAGCGAATTTTTCAAAAGCATGGTGTAAGGTGAGATTTGACACTTGTTCTCAATTGCAAATTCACATGGAAAGAAAATGAACTGACCCTAAAATGGCAGACAGCAGGTCTTTTCACCTTTACTGTCCTCTGCCCCACTGCTGGGCATTGACATATCCTTACACTTCCACTGGTTGATCAGGACTGTACCTGTCTCCTCCCTGTTGACTTGGATGGACAGTACCCTCAGTCAGAACAATGCATGTGGCTTTGAAATGCAGGGATGAGTGAGCAGTTCTCTCTGTAAGTAGGAGAATGATGCATTCTCACTTCATATTTTTAATGGTCTGGAAAGAGCAGAGAGCAGAGGGAGCAGTATTAATTTTAAATGTAAGTATGCTGGATATCTGCAAGTGCATGGGTCCTGATGGGATGCACCCACAAGTGCTGAGAGATCTGGCAGAAGTCGTTGCTGGGCCCCTCTCCAACATCTTTAAATGGTCCTGGAGAACAGGTGAGGTGCCCGAGGGCTGGAGGAAAGCGAATGTAATCCCAGTCTTCAAAAAGGGCAAGAAGTAGCACCTGGGGAACTACAGGCCAGTCAGCCTCACCTCCATCCCTGGAAGGATGATGGAATGTCTCGTTCTCAGCGTCATCTCCAAGCATATGGAGGAAAAGAAAGCTATCAGAAGTAGTCAACACAGATTCACCAAGGGGAAATCACATCTGACTAACCTGATAGCCTTCTACGATGGCATGACTGGATTGGATAGATGAGGGGGAGGGTGGTGGACATTGTCTACCTTAACTTCAGCAAGGCTTTTGACACAATCTCCCACAGCATCCGCATAGGTAAGCTTAGGAAGTGGGGGTTAGATGAATGGACAGTGGATTGAAAACTGTCTGAAAGACAGTGCTAAGAGGGTCGTGATCAGTGGCACAGAATCTAGTCAGAGGTCTGTAACAAGTGGAGTCCCCCAGGGGTCAGTACTGGGTCCAGTCCTCTTCAATATATTCAATGACCTAGATGGATTGTACCCTCAGCAAGTTCACTGACGTTACAAAATTGGGAGGGGTGGCTGACACACCAGAAGGCTGTGCCACCATCCAGCAAGACCTGGTCAGGCTGGAGAGCTGGACAGAGAGGAACCTGATGAACTTCAATAAGGGCAAGTGTAGGGTGCTGCACCTGGGGAGGAATAACCCCCTGCACCAGGACAGGTTGGGGGTGACCTGCTGGAGAGCAGCTCTGAGGAGAAAGACCTGGGAGTCCTGGTGGACAACAGGATGGCCATGAGCCAGCAATGGGCCCTTGTGGCCAAGAAGGCCAAGGGCATCCTGGGGGCATCAGGAAGAGTGGGAGCAGCAGGTGGAGGGAGGTCATCCTGCCCCTCTGCTCTGCCCTGGGGAGGCCCCATCTGGAGCACTGGGTCCAGTTCTGGGCTCCCCGGTTCCAGAAGGACAGGGAGCTGCTGGAGAGGGGACAGCAGAGGCTACAAAGATGACGAGGGGCCTGGAGCATCTCTCTTATGAGGAAAGGCTGAGGGACTTGGGTCTTTGTTAGTCTGGAGAAGAGAAGGCTGAGGGGGGGATCTGATCAATAAATACTATATATAAATACCTACAAATGTATCTATAACTACTTAAAGGGTGGGTGTGAAGAGGATAGGGCCAGTCTTTTTTCAGTGATGCCCAGTGAAAAGACAAGAGGAAATGGGCATGTACATAATAAGATCCAGCTAAACATGAGGAGGAGCTTCTTTGCTGTGAGGGTGGCAGAGCCCTGGCAGAGGCTGCCCAGGGAGGTGGTGGAGTCTCCTTCTCTGAAGACATTCAAACCCGCCTGGACACGTTCCTGTGCAACCTCCTCTGGGTGGACCTGCTTTGGCAGGGGCCTTGGACTAGATGATCTCCAGAGGTCCCTTCCAACCCCATATCATTCTGTGATATGTAATTATGTAATTTTAAAAATGTTGCATAAGAGCTGATAACAGCCCCACAATGGTTGGATCAGAATTTTTGTCTGTACAGAGAAGTGCAAAGGAAGGAGAGGATTGTAAAGGCACCTGTGCAGAGGCAAGAATTGATGAGGATATGTGGAGTAGACAGGAAGAATATTGAACCATTCCTGTTAGAAAGCCTAGGGTGGTGATGGAGGTGGGGAGAGAGACATTCAGATGTTGTCTTCATGGTGGCTGTTGCCCACACAGAAGGAAAGCACAGGAAATTCAGGATCTTGAGGTCACGTTTTTCCTCTGTGCTGTTTCACACATTCTTATGTGTGAAACATTCTTATGTGTCTTTCAACAGCCCGGCCCATTTAAAATAAAATAAAATAAAATAAAATAAAATAAAATAAAATAAAATAATTCCCCAGAGTATGCTGACCATTTAAAAGTGTTTCTACTGAAAAGCAGTAGTTGTCATGATGGAATTTGTGTCATCATGTATGCATATGTGCCCTCAAAAGAATTAATGCTCTGTTAGAGAGGAGGATGATCTTCTGTGTATTTTACTAAGATGGTCCTTGATTATTTGTTCCCTCCGATGAGAATTCTTCATATATAAAAAATTTCTGGCTGAGCACGATGTATGGCTGCTATGGTAGATTGAGCTGAATTTGGTCATTGAATGTGTAACTTCAAAATTCAGGGGACTGTCTCACCCTTAATATTTTGTTTTGTCACTTATCTTTCTCTCAGAAACCATTTCAAGTACACCTAGAAAAAAATCTTGGAGATATGCAGTATTTTATTTTTAATGTTGCTGACTTTTTACTGATCCATAAAGTGTTAGTATAAATTGAGCAGTGAAAAAACGTAGTTTATCCTTTAGCACACACTTCAAAATGTGTTCAGCTGCTTACACTCATCACTTCTCTTTATCCTTTTGTCTTGCTTTGCTTTTCAGATTATCAGTTTATTAAATGTCTTCACACCACAGAAATCTCTGGAGGAGTTCCAGGATGTGTAAGTAACAGAGGCACTAATTAAACGAAAGCTTTAGAGACATGTGTGGCGTTATAGTGTATCTTGAATGCAATAATTCAGCAAAATACAAAGGTTATAAACCCCTCTAAAAAAGGTAATGTATAGTCTACACTGTGGGTAGGCAGATGTTCTGCACTCCCATATGGAGAGCACTTTTGACATTCGAAAGGTGCTAGATACTGGGTTTCCTAAGTGCTGTAATAGTGTGCAAAGCCTGCTGGTGGGTCTTCTGGTGTGTGTGCGCTTGCCTTCACATTCAGAGAAAGGGATATGAGTAGTTAAAAGGGCCTTGCTTTTGTGTTATGTTTGCTTGGGAAATGATGGTTGTTATGTGACTCCCTGACGTGTACGAGATTTTGAATTGTGGCAGTTCATTCTGAAATAATTTCCTGTAAAAGAGACTGATGTGAAACATTTCCTCATTTCATATTTGTTTTGATCTAACCTCTGACTGCATAAAAATATTTGCCTGCAGAACTTAGTGCTGTATGTAGAGGACAACTAGCATCTCCACTGATTGTTGCCCTATTGCACAAGCACTATTGTGTGTGGTATGAACCTGCACTGAATGAAATTTTAAATATTCAGTATTTTATATAGTTGCATTCCTTTTATCTTTCAGTCTATTCTGTATACATTGTATGGGCATGTATTCCCATTCTGTGCTCTAACATCAGTAGTGATAACAGACAGATAGCAATGGCTGATCAGCCAACTACTGTTCTGATTTTGGTATATGGAATTTCCACATAGTATTGTCACTGCAGACTTGTGCAGAGCAGAGGAGGTAACTTGTGCTGGAGAGAAGACATGGCATGCACCTCACATTGAAATGGAGAGCTAGTGTTTTCCCCAAAGTTTGAGGTTTTTGTACATTGCATGCTTTCATGCAATATTATAGTTTTGAGTCAGCTGTGCTTGTGAGATGTCTCATAAGAAATGAGCTGATGTGTTTAATGTATTATTTTACTGCTAAAGGAGATTGGGTGAATGTCCTGCTGAGGTTGTCAGTGAAACTTATTTATCAGAAGCACAAGACCAATTAGTTGTAATGAGAATTGTGCAAAGTCATGCAATCTTAGGAGGATTTGGAAAGCCACTTTCCATTCTATTTGACAAGTAAGATTGTCAAGACACTTCATTATATTTGTTATAATAAATTTTGAAATTGTATTTGAAAAGTCATGGCAGTCTGATGAAGTTCCTGCTGACTGGAAAAGGGGAAACATAACCCCCAGTTTCAAAAAGGGAAAAAAGGAAAACCTGGGGAACTACAGGCTTCACCTCTGTGAGCTGACTGGAAAAGGGGAAACATAACCCCCAGTTTCAAAAAGGGAAAAAAGGAAAACCTGGGGAACTACAGGCTTCACCTCTGTGACCAGCAAGATCATGGAGCAGATCCTCCTAGAATCTCTTCTAAGGCACATGGAAAATAAGGAGGTCATTGGTGACAACCAACGTGACTTCACCAAGGGCAAGTTATGCCTGACAAATTTGTTGGCCTTCTACGAATGCACTACAGCATTGGTAGATAAGGGGAGAGCAACAGCCATCATCTACCTGGACTTCTGCAAAGTGTTTTACACTGTCTTGCATGACATCCTGGTCTCTGAATTGGAAAGGCATGGATTTGATGGATGGACCACTCACTGGATAAGGAATTGGCTGGATGGCTGCACTCAAAGGGTTGTGGTCAATGGCTGAATGTCCAAGTGGAAGCCAGTGACGAGCGGTGTTCCTCAGGGGTCAGTACTGGGACCAGTGCTGTTCAACATCTTAGTCAGAGATATGGACAGTGGGATTGAGTGCAGGACCCTCAGGAATTTTGCCAATGACACCGAGCTGTGTGGCGTGGTTAACGTGCTGGAGGGAAGGGATGCCATCCAGAGGGACCTGGACAGGCTGGAGAGGTGGGCCAATGCAAACCTCATGAAGTTCAACCAGGCCAAGTACAAGGTCCTGCACCTGGGCCATGGCAATCCCAGGCACAGGTTGGGCAGAGAATAGAATGAAATCAGCCCTGAGCAGAAAGACTTGCAGGTGTTGGCAGATGAGAAGCTCAACATGAGCTGGCAATGTGCACTTACAGCCTAGAAAGCCAACTGCATCCTTGGCTGCATCAGGAGAAGTGTGGCCAGCAGGTCAAGGCAGGTGATTCTGCCCCTCTACTCTACTCTGGTGAGACCCCACCTGGAGCACTGTGTCCAGCTCTGGAGTCCTCAGCACAGAAAGGACATAGATCTGTTGAAATGGGTCTAGCTTAGGGCCATGAAAATGATCAGAGGGCTTGAGCACCTCTCCTATGAAGACAGGCTGAGAGAGCTGGGGTTGTTCAGCCTGGAGAAGAGAAGGCTCTGGGGAGACCTTACAGCAGCCTTCCAGTATCTGAAGGGGTCTCCAGGAGAGATGGGGAGGGACCCTTTATAAAAGAGTGTAGTGATAGGATGAGGGGAAACAGTTTTGAACTGAAAGAGGGAAGATTTAGATTAGATATCAGGAAGAAGTTCTTTAGTGTGAGGGTGGTGAGACACTGGAACAGATGAACCAGGGAAGCTGTGGCTGCCCCATCCCTGGAGGGGTTCAAGGCCAGGCTGGATGGGGCTTGGAGCAACCTGGTCTGGTGGGAAGTGCTTCTGCCCATGGCAGGGGGGTTGGAACTCGATGATCTTTATGGTCCCTTCCAACCTGAACCATTCATTATTCTATTCTATTCTATTCTATTCTATTCTATTCTATTCTATTCTATTCTATTCTATTCATTTTTGGAAACATTTTGCATTGGCATGCGTATTTTAGCCTGCCAGACATCTTTACTACTCTCCGATTCCTACACGTGCTGGCTAGCCATTCCTCATAATGGTCAAGCAGTTGTGTCATTTGGTGCTTGTGGCTCTTCTGGTTTTGGCACATTTTGGTGTCATGCTGTCTGTCTGTCCGTGCAGGATACAGTCTCTGTTGTGGGGAATGCACAAGAAAGGGCCAGCGATCCACCTATTGTGCTAGGACACTAAAAGAATGATGTCTCTGCAGTGAGATGGTGCAGTCAGAAACAAACACCACAACAGTACCATTGTGAATGGGCCCAATCTCCCAGTCAGCAGAAATAAAGTGTAATTTGAAACAAGAAAAGGCATTGTTACTTATTTGTGATGATGCTGTGGTTCCGCTTCAAGACAAACAACAACCTATGACTTTGTTTTTTCATGCAGTTACTTGGTAATGGAGTTAATGGATGCCAATCTGTGCCAGGTCATTCAGATGGAGTTAGACCATGAGCGAATGTCTTATCTACTGTACCAAATGCTCTGTGGTATCAAGCATCTTCACTCTGCAGGAATTATTCACAGGGTAAGGGACCTTTGGTTTGAAACTTAGGGCAGCATATGATGTCATCATGAAGACTTTAGAAACCATTTGAGCTTCCTGGGTGCTATGGACCGGTAAAATGACTATAAACTTATGAGTCGTAGTCTACCCCCTTAGCAGGGTAGCTACATGCTTGTGTTAGGAATGAGATCATTTGTGAATTTAAATCAGACAAAAAGGTAAAGTGATTATTGAAAAAAATAATAATCAAATAACAAGCACTGGAAATCATCAAAGTTATTATGAGTTCTGAAACGGGTACATGAATGTTATTTCCTCTTAAAATGCAGCTGGTAGCATCTACCACACACGACATTCAGACACTTTGAATTGATGTTGCAGTGTGGTCCAGATATTGCTTGATGAGCATCTGCAGAGGTCAAGGCATACGGAATTGGCATTTTCTATCATTTGTGTGTGCTAACATAAATAAAAAGACTGCTAAGTCTATACTCAATGCATCCTCTCCTATGGTACCTGGCTGTGAGTGCCAGAGGTGTCACTATGTATGATTGGTAACAACAGAGGGAATGGTTCATGTGACTGTGAACAGGAGGCAATTCTGAATGCACTGAAAATATTCTGAGTTAACCTCTTTATTGAAATGTCCTTTTACTAATTTGGGATTTCCAGCTGAAAAATTCAAGAATGTTTCCCTTCTGTTATAAGAGGAAGAAAAGAAGGGGTGATAAAATGGATTAAAAAGTGGGTGTTGCTTTACAATATCCAAAGATCTCCTTTCTTGGAATGCTGTATGCTTAGCAAAGGATGCTACATTTGGCTTCCAGATAGTCCTTCCAGCAAAGGATGAGTTGAATTATTATAAATGAAACATTAAGGTATCTCCACATGTACAGTTAGAATTTCTCTATTAGGCTCACAGTATTAAAAAAATAATACTCAAAATGGTACTCTAATACTAGTCCTTGTTTCTTGAAATGCCAAATTCAATTAATTTAACACCAGTAGGCTCCTGCTATCCAGGTAACGCCCCACACTGTGTGCCAAGTTAGGACACCTTCCAGAAGAATTTGCTAGAGAAACAGTAGCAAGGTTTTGCTGTGTATTTACGAGTATTTCTGATACTGACTCTACATGTCAAAGAGCGAAAATATTTGAAGGGTGACCTAAAGTATCAGTCCCTATCAGAGATGTGCCTGGCTTTATGAACAACAGTCATATGTCTTTTCACCATCTTTTGCAGGATTTAAAACCAAGTAATATTGTGGTAAAATCTGACTGCACGTTGAAGATTTTGGATTTTGGACTGGCCAGGACTGCGGGCACTAGCTTCATGATGACTCCATATGTGGTGACACGTTACTACAGAGCACCAGAGGTCATCTTGGGAATGGGCTACAAGGAGAACGGTAGGGCTGCAATTTCATAGCAAGCACAGTGTGAACGAAGTTTAAGGTCTGCCTCTGCAATTGTAAGGGGCACTAGAAGGAGAAAAAGAAAACAAAATGGGAAATGACATCTTGCATTTAAAAGCCAGGTCCTTTAGATCTGTTTCTCACTGTTGTGTACAACTGCAGCTACAGAATGCACTTGGGATACAATGCTGGAGAATTTATCAGTGTGGGATTGCAGAGTAATGAGAAACTTGATCTTAGTTATGGTTAAACTTAACATATAAAATTAGCTTTTTCTGACCAGATTGTTTTTGCCTTCTGAGGCTGTGAAACAGTGTGGAAATGACTGGAATTGCTGAACAAGTAACGTGCTCTAAATTTGAGTCTGGATCTCTGAATTGTTTAAGGGAAGAAGAAGAGGTACAAGCTGAAATAGGGAATCCTTGCCCTTCCAGAATTTCTCTATATCCAGAGCTAGATATGAATTTCAGGAGTGGCTTCTGTCATTATGACAGGTTCAACTAAAGTCCCAGGTGTTGCTGACAGGTTTCATGTGAATCTAGGAATAAATTTTGCAGTTTGAATCTTTTTTCAATGGAAAATATAGTTGAAGAGAAGGGGAAAAGATGGAGCTAAAAAAACATGCACCTAATTCATATGTAATCTCCCTAGATGTAAATAGGATTTTTCTCTGAACAGTCTGTGAGGGATCTGGATACCTCCATAGTCCCTGGAGAGATTGTGAAAAGCAAGTAGGGGCTCCTCACTATAGAGAAGCAGGTAAGGAAGAATTCACATTTTGCAGGGGATGAAAGGAAAAGTTATTCTCATTTTGTAACGAAACTGAGAATTTCACCTGAGTGCCAGGTAGGCTAGGCAGGAAAAGAGGGGATACAACATGCCATGAAAAAAAATAAAAATCCTCTATGACTCATATTCTGCTGTTAAAAGCTACCATTTGTCTGTTTGACAAGGAGACTTTTCAATGACAAATACAGGAAACATCAAAACCAGGAAATTATTAAAAAGTCTCCTACTTTACATTGAAGAGGTTAACCTGCAGGAGAATTTTTACTAACAGTCAACTGCATCTGTAAAGGGCAGTGTAACTGATTTTGGGAGCTGATTCCATGGCTTAAGCAAGAATATAGGCATGCTCGTACAAACCCTTCCAAAATTAGTAAATCTTATGAATTATATGTAATATTTATGACTTTACAGTACACATTTTAATATGTAAGTCTAAAAACTAGAGGATCATTAAGCAGAGCGTAAGCATACAGAATAATTTCTGAAAAAGGAGTAATCTTCTTTAAAGGATTTTGTAATTGATATTTTTGATAAATGCCATTAGATATTTGAACTAGGCTCAGCATGCTTTAGATAGTTCCTTAGTCAATATCCAGAGTTCCTTCTATTGTGACATGAATTATCTTGCGTTTATTTTTTTTTCATCTCCAGACTTTTAGTAGATGATTACCATTATTGTTGTTACTGTCCCTGAAAGGACAAAGAAAGCACTCACTTTTCCCATTATTAAAATCACACATTAGTACAAAGTTAGACACACTTTTGCGATGAAGTACACAGCTGAGAAGGTACTAAGAATCTTTACCACATCCAAAGGTCCCTGATCAAATGCCCATTGAAGTTAACGTAGAGACTTTTCTTTGACTTCCCTGGGCATTGAATCTAGCTCAAGATGAATGATCTCATCTTACTTGTACAAAGCAAAAATAAAGTAAACAGAGAAAGAAAATAAAATATTTGCAAATGAAGGTCAGCTGTTTGAGGAGCCAGTCTGCTTGGAGGCTCTGATCCAGCTCCCAAGGAAGTCAATAGAAAGGATTGTTCTTTCCTTCCCTGCTCTGGCCTATGATGCCACATTACTGAAGCTCCCCTACTTCTTTTTTCCTCTTACTATATACACTGCCTGTATAAGGACTGTTCATGGCTTTCATTTTCTTTCTGCACTTGGTTGGCTAAAGATGCATAATTATCACCAGTTTGCTGCACTTCTATGGAAGGTCCCAAAACTGTCACTACGAAGAAAAAACTGCTACTGCCTCAGGCATGCTCTTGCTGTCCCATGCCCCTTATACCTGTACCCTCCTTTTCCTACATGGAACATTTCACCTTTATTTTGTTTTACCAAGAAATTAGTTGTTTGTATGTTTCTTTGGTTTGTTTTGGATTGCTTTTGAAGGATAAAAAGGGGGAAGAAAAAGAGGAGAAACTGGTTGTGTAGGTCAAACATGACCACAAAATGAGGATTCAAAGTTGAGAAACATCGTCGTTTGAAAGCAGTTTTTTGCCCTTCACCTGCCCATCACAGGTCTTTGCTTTCTGTGCACACTACGCCATTATCTATCCAGCCTTTTTGCTTGTGAGGCTTAAAGGGCAAAAGAGTCCCTCACCCAAGTCAAGCAGATATATATGCACTTTGCATCTAAAAGATGAATGCAGGATCAGGAAGATAAGAAAAGCTCTTAGTCTTGTTGGTACTTATCCTGCAAAGCATTTGTTTTAGTGTTTATTTTGTGTAAAAAGAGGAGTCCGCACAGGTCACATGCTCTAGTTCTTTCCAGTGGGTATGTAGGTACGGACAGATACATATAGATAGGTACCTATAGACAGGACATAGTTACAGATCACGAAGCAGGAGTTTTAAATAACCCTTAAGGGGGTATTTATCTACTCAGCCTTTACTTGTGTGAGAGGTCCATTTGGAACTTTTTTTGTACTGCTGCAGAGAGACTTAGTCCTATGGGACAAAGCCTAGAAACTTCCTGGCTGCAAGTAGGTTTTATTCCAGATGATCGTTGTCTGGGTTTGGGGTTTTTTTTTTTGCCTTTGTTTTTTTCTTAAACAAAACAAACAAAAAAAGGTTGTTTTTCACCACAAACTCAGTGTATACCACAGGTCTGTGCAGTTGTTACTTGATCTTTACTTGCTAGCTGTGGGCCTTTTCCCAAAAATGTTCATTTTAAGCTTTTTCCACCGTTGTTACTACCATTGACTGACACAGCTTTTACTTATTTACTTATTTGTTTCAGCTTTTGGTGAGACATGAAAAAAACCAACCAACAAAACCACAAACCAAACTGTACTGTTCTGATCAAACTGCTCTTTTTCCCCTCCTTTAGGAGTGAAATGTTGTAGTTAACTTTGCTTTTTTTCCTCCTTCTTCACTTCCCTGTCTCTGCTGTTCTAGTGGATATATGGTCTGTGGGATGCATTATGGGAGAAATGGTTCGCCACAAAATCCTCTTTCCAGGAAGGGACTGTATCCTTGTGCCATTTGCTGCAGCTTCACCTATTATTTGTTCCTCTCCTCCACCCCATCCCTTTTACCATACAATGACTATACCAGGGCTGTAAAGATAAAAGCAAAAAGTTGAATCCCAGAGGTATAAGTAAATGAAAATAGTGCACTACTGATATGAACAAAATTGAAAATTAAAAACAGATGCACAGAATTATTTCACTCAAATAAGTTACTTTACTCTAAAACCTGTAAACACTCCACTTTTTGTAGTCATACTAATAAGCAATATAGAAAACAAGCAGTATGACTTAAAATTGGATAGCTTTACCTATTCTTCAAAGGAAAAATAAGAAAAAAGAAAAGAATCCTAACTTGGCCCATCTGGTTCCTGTAAGCCTGTTTTTCTGTTTTTATGTTTTGTAAATAGTGACATCATAACATTTGTGGTGACATCATAATCTTTTGCTTGCTAATGCATCATGGATTTGGGTCCATCTCAATGCTGTATGGGCTCAGAGCTGAGTCAATACAACATTTTTTTCTTTAAAACAAAATGAAGAATTTGACTTGCCCAGTTTAAGGCAACCATTTATCTGCTGTGGTTTCCAAATTGGCCTGAAATCAGATTCTCTTGATTTAAAAATGGACTTTCCTTTACTTGCATGAGGTCTGTGTCATTAATTAAACTGTATTTCCCTTCCATCTTGTTCTTCCTGTCTTGGGTGATATTATTTTTACCAATTCCAAGGTGGTGAAAGCAATATTAGAAAATGAAAACAAAAGAGAAGGTGTATCTAATTAGTCCTCAGATTATCAAAGGCTGAGCCAGACAACCTGCCTGCAATGGCTGGGAAGTGTAAGTAGTGTGCATTTTGCCCATCAGAATAAAATGCAGCAACATAACACGTCTTCCACTTTCAGAAACAAAAAGGCATATCATGTTCAGCGGGTTGGCAGAAAGATACCATAAAAATGTGTCATCAGCAGACACTGGCAGTTGGTGTGGAGAAGACTCAGCTTTTACAAATATGTAGTCATGGAAGTAATTAATTTTTTGCTGGCTCTTGAGTGATTCAGAGTTAGGTCCTACTGTCCTGTTTTCATAGCCCTGTTGACTTTCTCTGAAAATGGAGCTCTGCCCAGCAGTCAGCTGAAGGTGCAGGTAGATGAGGAAATATCTACTAACAGGTAGATGAGGAAACTGCAGATACCTCCTGTTTGCAGAGGAGGAAACAGCAGCATTGTACTGCCTTCCAGTCTTGTAGGAATACGGACGGGAAAGTTATGGGATACAAAATATGACAACAAAGTAAGAACAGTGGAATTAGAATGGTGGTTTTTATTATTAGTGATTAGTTTTGAGATGTTACTCCCCAGGTGCTGAGCTTTCCCTGCAGTGTGTGGAGCAGGCTGCTGTAATCCCAATGTGCAGAGCAGCTCCCAGCATTCATGAAGCCTGTAATTCAGAGTGGTAGTTATACTGTGTCTCACCACCTCAGAAACACCATCATAACTTTTCCTCCTTTTTTTTCTTTAATGCACAAAATAAAACTAAATGATCTATAATATATTTGAGGTTCAGCTGTAAAGAGTGAGGATAATTCTATCTAACCTATTTGGAGAGAAGTCTGATTGAGTTTTTAGTTGATAAAAAAATAGAATACAGGAAAAAAGCTATTTCAATGTAAAATTATAGCGCTGTGGCTAGTTGAAAACCCCTTTTTCAACAATAAATGAAATTTAAGACTCACGTTCTTCTACTGATTTCCAGAAAAAATAAATACTATATAATTGAAGAAATACAGCTTTTAAAAAACCATTCAAACATGAGAATTAATTCTTTCTGTCTGGCTGTGACAACAATCTCTTTTGACTGGGATAGCAACAGAATATTTTTAAGATACCTTATAACATTTCAGTAACTGTTAAAAATAAAAACTGGATTTTTTGACAATGCAGAAAGCATTGTGTAAATTGCGTGATAGTCCTACTTTTTAAATCATTTGAAATCCCATACCCTGAAATGCAGTGTATGTGGGCCAGTCACAACTGCTACCATGTTTTAGTGGTGGATTTATTCAGGTGAGTTGGAAGTTAAAAAAAAAAAAAAAAAAAAAGAAAAAAAAAAAAGGACACCTAAACTTTA